AAAGTGAAACCATCATGTGGGATGCCTGCATTGGAGGTGGCAACTTGACTTGCTGCACAGGAATGCCCTTTGAGTCCTTTTGGATGATTCCAAATTTTGGTTGCTGAACCGGCTCCTTAGAACCTGTGAATCTAATGTGCATCTTTGAGAACATTGAGAATTACAGTTCTGCGACCAAGAGGCATGGGGCTGGTGGACACAGTAGTGTCTAAAGAAATCTAAAGAAAGTCCCATTTCACTGCCTCACCTTTCTTTTAAAAAAAAAAAATTGTTTAGGGCCCAGTGTGGTAGCCTAGTGGCTAAAGTGCTCGCATTGAACGTACCAGGATCCCATATGGACATCGATTCTAATCCTGGCAGCCCCGCTTATCATCCATCTCCCTGCTTGTGGCCTGGGAAAGCAGTCAAAAACAGCTCCAAGCCTTGGGATCCTGCACCTGGATGGAAGAACTGGAATTGGCTCCAGGCTCCTGGCTTCAGATTGGCTCACTTCTGACTGATGTGGCCACTTGGAGAGTGAATCATCAGATGGAAGATCTTCCTCTCTGTCTCTCCTCCTCTCTGTATATCTGACTTTCCAATAGAAAAAAAAATTTAAAGAAATTATTTGAGATGTGAGAAAGCAGAGCTTCCATCTACTGGTTTATTTCTCAAATGCCTGAAGTTGTGCAGTGTGGGCTAGGCCCGATCCAGGTCTCCCTTGCTGGGACTGGAAACTAACAGCCCGAGGCATCAGCTGCTGCCTGCCAGGGTGTGCACTGGCAGGAAGGTAGAATTGGCAGCAGAGGGAAGGTTTCAACCCAGAAAGTCTGATGTGTCCTGACCACTGTTTCAGACGCTGACCCTTTGCTCTTTTTTCTTTCTGTCCAGGGCGACACTAGTCTTGCCCGTCCACTCACTGCTACTGCTACTGCTACTTCTTCTTCTTCTTCTTTTTTTTTTAATGATTTTTATTAAAAAATCAGAACTACATTGTGAAGACCTGAAATTAAAACTTAAATTTTTATGGGAAGTGTATTTATTTTACTTTTGTTCATTTATAGAATATAACGCGTATTATTTTATTTCGGATGCCAGGAAATGTTTTCCAGTGTGGGGTTTTCTTGTGGGTGTCAGGAAGAAAAGACAATGAGCTCATTGCCTGCCCGGAGGGCTAAGTGAAAGGGCGGAGAGCGGTGCCAGTGGGACCGGGCTCCAGGGCTCCGAGGGTCTCGAGGGTCTCGTAGACCTGAATGCTGGTCTCAAGACTAAGATTAGAAGATGGTTAATCATTATATAGTAGGGCATATGCTGTTTTAACCTCTGTAAACTGGAGCTTATCTGTAAGGATTACAATATAAAGATTAACTGGAAAGTGACTAACTGGAGTGGCCTATTACAGCCAGAGTTCCTCCATAAAGGAGAGCTTCCTTTTTTTTTTCTTTTTTCGCTGCTCATTAGTGATTAGTTGGTTGGATCTCTGTAATTTCATTAGATGTGGAGCACATTGTATCTGCAGTTACTTGAGCTCATTGGAGGAAGGTCAGAATTCTGCATTTTCTGAAGTTTCCATTGTTTTTTTTCTAAGAATTTAAAACAATAATTTAGAATGAAGTCTTAGTGGCAGAACTGTGCTTTCAGTTCTCTATGTTAAATGAGTAGACCACTCTAAATGCATTCTGTGGGACATTTTGGTTTTTTTCGTCTGAATGCTTAATGAAACTTAGATACTTCTGTTTGAAGAAGCAATTCATATGATTACTGCCCAGGAGAATTCAACCCAGGTTTTCTAAAACCTTAAATTTAAGTGGACATCCAATAATTATTTTGTGATACTAGTCTGAGTTTAATTTTTTTTTCCCCAAAATTTTTCTTGCTACAAGAAAACAGCTTGGTATTCTTTTTAAGGATTTATTTGATGAAAGAGTTACAGAGAAAAGAGAGGGAGAGAGAGGTTTGGTGTGTGGCTGGGGAGGATCTTCCCTCTGCTGGCTCATTCCCCAGCTGGCCATAACAGTTGGTGCTGGACCAGGCCAAGACCTGAGGCTGAAGCTCCTTCCAGGATTCACATGCAAGTGGCAGGGACCCAAGCACTTTATCTGCTGCTGCTTTCCCAGCCACATTAGCAGGGAATTGGATCGGAAGTGGAACAGCTGGGACTTGAACCGACACAAAATTGGGGTATGGGTATTGCCCGTTATGGCTTTACCTGCCAGCAGTATCTTCCGGCTAGTTATTATTATTTTTTAAAGATCCATTTATTTTGATTGGAAAGGCAGATATATAGAATGAGAAAAAGACACACAGAGAAAGATCTTCCATCCGCTGGTTCACTTCCCAAGCTGCCACAATGGCAAGAGCTGAGCTGGTCTGAAGCCAGGAACCAGGAACTTCCTCTTGGTCTCCCATGCAGGTGCAGGGTCCTGAGGCCTTAGGCCACTCTGGATTGCTTTCCCAGGCCACAAGCAGGGAGCTGGATGGGAAGTGGAGCAGCCGGGATTAAAACCAGTATGCATATGGGCTCCTGGTGCATGCAAGATGAGGACTTTAGCCACTAGGCTACTGTGCCGAGCCCCAGCTTGTTTTTGTATCAGGAAGTCAAAAATAATATTTGTAAACCTGCAAAAATAGTCTTTTAATTAGGTTAAGAGAAAAATAAAAAGTGTCAATTTAAGGTTTCCAAAAATATTTTTGTATTTTATATCTGATCTTATGTTCATTCTGATAATATTTCTTATTTGGGTTTTTTCTTTTATTGCACCTGCTTTAATATAATCATTTGTTCAGTTTTCAATTTAAAAATTAAAAAACCTTTAAAAATCTCAATTTTTCTACAAAAAAAATCTTCGGTGAAAGTATGCTTTTTTAAAGGCAAATTGAAAGGCTTAGTGGGTTAGTCTGCCTGCTGGCAGCAGCTCTGGTTTGGGTGATCTGCGTGCAGGCTGCTCCAGTTCCAGCCCAGCTTCCCGGTAAAGGCCTGGGAAGCAGTAGAAGATGGCTGCGTTGCTTGGGCCTCTGTGCCCCGCTGGACATCCGGAAGAAGCAACTGGCTCCTGGCTGTGGTTTGACCTAACCCCTGCCATTAAGGCAGTTTGGGGAGTGAACCAGTGAATGAAAGATCAATCTTTCTCTTTAAATAGATCTTTAAAAGGTAAATTTAAAATTTTTATTTAGAAGTTTACTGTCAGTTGCCCAGAGTTATAGCATGGTAAGTAAAGTGCCATCTGCATTGTTAGCATTCAATCGAGGTATTAGCTCAAGTCCAGCTGCTTCACTTTGCATCTGGCACCCTGCTTGCTAATGGCCTGGGAAAGCTAAGGAGGCTGGCCCAAGTCCTGCCCCTCTGCTGCTCCTGCAGAAGGCTTGGAGGAAGCTCCTGGTTTCCCTCTGGCCCAGCCCTGGCTGCCGTGGCCAGTGCAGAGTAAACTGACGAGGGAGGACTTCTGTCTGTGACAACATTTCAAATAAATAAATAAATACACAAAAGTTAACAAAATAAAGGTAAATAAATAGAAGTTTGCTTTTCGTAATTACTTAATATGCCATAATATACATTTTAATTTGAGATTCAAAGTCCGGGCCTGGTGCTGTGGCCTAATGGCTACAGTCCTCGCTTTGAACACTCCAGGATCCCATATAGGCACCGGTTCTAATCCCAGCAGCTCCACTTCCCATCCAGCTCCCTGCTTGTGGCCTGGGAAAGCAGTCAAGGATGGCCCAAAATCTTTGGGATCATGCACCAGCGTGGGAGACCTGGAGGAGGATCTGGGCTCCTGGGTTCAGATCGGTGCAGCACCGGCCGTTGTGGTCACTTGGGGAGTGAATCATGGGACAGAAGATATTTCTCTCTGTCTCTCCTCCTCTCTATCTGACTTTGCAATAAAAATAAATAAATCTTTAAAATAAAAGATTCAAAGTCCATAATAATATAGGTAAAGTTTAGTAACTTTCATGTTACAATATTAAGAATTCAAATAATATCCACAGGAAAGAAAACAAATCTTCATATTTTCACCTTTAAAATGCTAATATTTTATTTCTTGTTTTTAAAACTTTTTTGTTCGTGTTAGTATATTTAATAAAAAGTCTTTTGATTTAATGTTTGATATTTGTTGTCATTTTATATATCAATTCCAGATTAAGAATTCTAAAAAGTAAAATATAGATTATCAAGAATCAAGTAGGGCCTTAGAATTTCTTGACAATTTATGTTCTTTTAGATTCCTGAAGTTTTCAATTCCATATTCAGCTTGCCAACCATGATTCCTCATCTGATATTCAAAGTGTTCTGTTTTTTTTTATTTGTATTGATTTGTTGCTGTTATTATAGATGATTTTATTACATAATGGTAATGGCCCTAGAAACCCAGCAAACAAAAGAGAGTATTTTTAGTATTCTTTCAATTAAGTCTACAGGAAGAAGTAGTACATATAAGGTGTAAGATTACTTAGTTAAACCGAAAATTACCTTTACTCTGTAAATGCCTTTTAAAATGGGAACGATCAACACCAAGGAAGTGGTTTCTCGTATTTCATCCCGAGGATCTGAGTTCCTGGGGTCCCTGTTGTTTTTAGTTTGTGACATTTTACTGCCTCCTGCCCAATAACTGAATACTAATTGGTATTATTCGATTCATGAAATATCGCGTGTTGTTTAAAAAAAAGTTTTTTTTGTGACTTTAAGCACGATAATTGGCAACTATTGTTGTGGACAACAGCATTCTGAAATGTAGGCATTTGTACATTCTTTTGCTATTAACCGACTTTTTATTCACTTTTTAATTATGGGATTATGAAGTCTGGTAAATTAAAATGTGCTACAAAAAATGTTTCCCTTGTTGTAAGATTATCTTTTTATTTCAGGTAATAATCTTACCTTTTGTGTATTTTTTCCCTTACAATACAATAGATGATCCATAATTATATGGAACACCTGGAAAGAACGAAGCTTCATCAGCTCTCAGGGAGCGACCAGCTGGAGTCCGCAGCTCACAGTAGGATTAGGTAAGCTTTGTTAGTGGTTTTGCCTTGTGAAAAAGTGAAATAAATTCGCTGTTTGTTTTTCTTTTCTGTTGTTCTCTGGTTTTTAATTCTGGACTGATCGTTTGGCTGATTCCAAAAGCTTTGTACTATGGTTAAAATGGTGTGGGAGAGAGTAGCATGCTGATCGTTTTATGATACTTAATGGAGATTACACCACTTTCCAAATTGTCTAATTTGAAGGAATGCTGAAAACTTGTCAGTTCTATTGTAAAATTGATCCTTTTTGTTCCAGAGAGGCATGTGTGAAAGGGTTAGCTTGCCATCTGTTTGATGTAGGAGTGTGAATAAATTATGTAGATCGCGGGGCATTGCAGCCAATGGGCTAAGCCTGGACTCTCGGTAGAGGAAGATAGTTAATAGGCTGCCCGCCGCTCTGGATTGCTGCATAAATGCTGGGAGCAGCAGCTCTATGGTTATGAGGTGGGCCGAGCGGGATGACGTCATCGCCCGGGAGCTGCTGCAGGATGGAGTGGAGAGCTGCTGCTGATGGCATTGTTTTTGTGGCCGCATCTGAATGACAGATCCTCACTACAAAGATAGCCCTTTGGCCCCCCGTGTAGGCCTCCTGGTCCGGGTGTTTCACCATGCCAGCGCAGCGCCATGAGTCCTGGATGCATGCTGCTGTTGGTGTTTGGCTTTGTTGGCGGGGCGGTGGTCATTAATTCGGCTATATTAGTATCGCTGTCTGTTTTACTGCTCGTGCACTTTTCTTTTTCTACCGGTGTGCCAGCTCTGACGCAGAACCTGCCAAGGATACTCAGGTACTCAAGGGGCTCTCTTAGAAGCCTGCATGTAGCAGGCTTTCTTTCCTTCTTAGCTCCCCAGCTCTTGCTTTGTAACCATTTCCGTTGCAGATTGAAACAATGGAAAATAGCCTGAAGCTAGGGTTTTGGGTTCTTATTTGTAGTCATTTCTCATCTATCACGTAGGAATACAGCTTTGTGTTTGGAAACCATGAACCAAAGAGAAGGATTTTCGTGTGGTACTTAAGCGAGCGCAAGGTCAGAGTGGTCTTGTTTAAGCAGAATGTTTCGTAGTATAGGGAGAGCAAGAGTTGAGCACCTGGTCCAAATGTATACAAGCTCTGTGCTTAGTTTCTGAGTCTTTAGGGGCAAATATCTTTTATGCTGAGACTTAAAATTGATTAGACACAGACTGTGGGTTTATTTTGTCCTAATTTTTTGTGATTGAAGCAGGCTCACATAACATTTTATCAATTTTTATATAGCAACTCCTGAGAACTAAAAATTTAAATATTTTCCTCCTAAAACAAAATAAGAAAGTGAATGAGTTTAAACTTTTTAGGGCGAAGAATACATTTTCCCCTTTTATTTATACATCAAAGTTGTGAATTCTTTACAAAGCCTATTCACTATTGTTTTGTCAGATGTCGCCCTTTCTTTTCTTTGTAGTCTTGGGTGACAAATACCCAAGCTTGTTTGTGGGGGTGGTCATTAATCTCTCTAGCTTTACTGCTGCTCTTTGGGCCTGTGTCCCGTGGGAACCCATCTGAAAGGTTTAATGTTTAAGCTTCTTTTTGTTTTCTAATTCATCAAACTAAAAGTATCTGATTTGTTTTTTTAACTTGTCAAACTCCAAGTATCTGTTCGGATTTCTGCTTTGTGCATGGTTTCAATGAAGCTCAGACGGTGCAATTTTTATTTATGATTTGTTGACAAAAAGATTTAAATCCTGGTTTTGGACTTAGAAAAATCAAGGAGAACTAAAGTAGTGAATTCCATCAGCGCTTTCCTTTTTATTTGTAGGCGAGTTCATGTTAGTTTAAGGCTAAATATTGTATTTTGTCTGTGGTCTGAAACTATATGCTTAATTTTTTACTGATTTATAAAGATTAGAAACAATCTTACTACTTTTGTGTATTTCAGCACATAAAAGATTTGTATGTGTAAGTGTATGTTTAGGCTTTGAACAAATTGAAAATACCTGAATTCAAGAATATGTAAAATATGAAGATAAGGTTCATGCTGAGGGGCTGTCTCAGAATTAGGTTCTGCCTGAAAACAAACATCCTGCCACTCTTGGGCCATTGGCAAGTTGCTGAATCTGTCTGTCTGAGTTTGCTCTTCTGAAGACTCTTTCCCATTGGGCCGTTTTAAAAACCAAGTGAGAAGGTAATATTGTGTTAAATTATCATTGGAAGATAGTTTATTATATGAATAAATAATTTTCACAGTCATATATAGATACCCCATTGTTAACAAACTTACTTTAAATTTAACTGGTTTCTTAATAAAGTACCTTGTACCTTGTGATGAAAATTTAGAAGATTGCAGTTGATCTGACTGGAGAAAAAATCATAGTCTTTAGTATTAGGATTAAATTTTGAAAAAGTAGGCAGCTCTAAGAGGGAAATGCTCACGGAGGTACATAACCTGAATGGAGAGGAGTTCCCACTCTGCCAGCTGCTAGTGCCTAAAGCCTCTGAGCACAGTTTTTACCACTCTGAGAACTGAGGAAACAACCCGTATCTCCTCGTAAAGGTGAATGATATTGTGTAGGTAAGAAATGCAGCTCAGCATCTGCTACATGGTGAATAGTCAATAAGTGTAATCATTAATCCTGTAAAAATGTAAGGTAGATCTTCTCGTTAATGCATTAAATGCGATTGGAGCCAAATGTTGTTTCAAAAATGTATTTATAGAATGTTTGAGAACGTATGTGAACTAAATTTGAATTCCCAACTTAAAAATAAATATATGGAACCAAGACAACTAAAAACTGTATATTTGATAGCTTTGTTTCTAGACAGTAATAGCAGATGTTTCACTCCGTGAGTTAAATCTGCTGCTTGGTGTTCCTCCACAGGAATGCTATTCTTTGGTTACTTCCCTTCAGTGAGTTTTTCTAAAGTATTTACCATTCAAAACATTAAGCCCAGCATCCTTACCACCATTGCACAAGACCTATGTTTTTGCATTTCAGAGTTTCTTTTTGAAAGTTGAATTTCAATGAACTTTATGTAAATACATGTCTCTTTCTTTCGCTCAACTCTTGCATAATTGATCAGTAAAATAAGAGAGTGTCTAGCTGTCTTACCTTTCCACAGTTGGAATGGTGTGGCCCAGGGCATCACTGGCACTCCTGACAGATGGCTGTCAGGCTCTGAAATCTCACTACACAGCAGTTCTGAATGATTGATGAAAGCAAAATAATGACGTGGGAATCCTACATAGAGCTTTGATCATAAATTTAGTTGACTGAAGTAGGAAAGTAGAACTTGGGTTCATGGAAGATTCCATTCTCTATAGTTTTAAACTTTTTCTGTATATGATAGGTGTGAAGAAAATGAATGTGCATTCATTCACTTCAGAGGGTAACTTAATGACTCGCTTATATTTGGATTTCTCTTAGCAGTGTGATAAATTTGCATGAAGTCTATTACTTCCTTATGGTCTTGCATTTTGGTCTAACACACCTTGCTTTAAACTCAATTTGATTAAATTCCCAACCACTTTCTGTAAAATTGCTAAGATATATTAGAAAGAAATTATAACTCGTGTCCAAGTGTTTAACCTAAAGGAAATGAGTGAAAATCACTGAGTAGCTCTCTTAGATGAAGTAATTAAAACTTGTGTCCAAGTATTTGTCCTAAAGGAAATAAATGAGCAAATAAATGAAAATCATTGAGTAACTGTCATAGAACCTTGGATTTTCAGTTCCAAAATATGTTCCTCACAGATTGGGGAATAAATGTCAGAGTGACAGCTTTTACTTTGTCAAGTATGGGCGTAAAAAGAAATATCTCTTACCAACCATGTCACCATCATTTGATCTAAGAAAGAGTATTGTAATAAGCCAAAAAGGTTTCATTGAAACTTAAGGTCAGCTGTGGTTCTGTGTTAAATGGAAATATGTACATGTGCAATATGTACTGCATTATCCACTAAAATAAATAATGCCCTATGCCGTTGTGTTGTGGAAACTTCATTGTTAATCAGCGTTTAGAGTAACTGATAGAGGCCAAGTATCTTACTGGTTACTCAAGTTTTGTCACTTGGTTGTTCTGACAGCTGTTAATCACAAACTTAGATCTAGTAGTAAACTCCCCTTATTGTGCTACTTGCCTACATTTGAATTTCCTCCCAAATTAGGGAAAGTGTGAAGAAATGTTGCATAATTTTCTCTAAAGAGGAAAATGTTGTTTTAAACCTTAATATCCTTGTGCATATGACTTTGATAAAATGAAGTTTCTTAACCATTTTGCTTCATTTATCTTTAAAAAGGTGTCCTAATAATTTTACTAATCCTTTTCAATGGGGATCAAAAAGCATACATAGCCTTTGTATTAAATGAAGGTGCATTTCAAAAACGGCTTAAATTTCTTGGTTATGAATGTACAAAATAAAAGATGTTTTTAGGACACATTCTTTCACTTTTATAACTTGGTTTGTTTCTATTCTATTTTACGTTCTTTCTAGTAATGCCTGCTTCTCACTTTGCAGTTAGTAGACCAGGATGACCAGTTAGTAGGCTCATTTCTACCCTCTACAAGTGCTTAAATTTGGATCTTCTGTATGTTAACAAAGGTTGTGCTTTTTATGAAAATTGCCATTCTGTCCATTGAAATACTTGAACAAGGCATTGGAAATTAAACAGCTCTTTCATAGAGTGTTTGGCTCATGTTTGGGGGGAAAAAAAAAAACTTGCAATATGTACTGTGCCTGAAAGGAACTTGTATAGTGCTTCTGTGGAAAAACCGAACACAACACAGCTTTCCTGCGTCAGGCGGGATCAAAACCCTTTGAGTTATTTCTGCCATCAGTCAGTAGCCCTAATTCAAAATACACTGATTTTCCTTCAGACAGAATGAAAGGCACACACTGAAGAGGCTTCAGTGAACCTCCAGGGATTAGAGTGAGGATATCCAAGTGCAGAGGCAGTGACTGGGCTTGCTTTCAAAGGAAGAGGCTGCAGGACCCCCTTTGCTAACCTGTGCAGCCCTCTTCTCAGGGGAATCAGAGGCCACCAACTGTCTGCTGGCTGAGAAGCACCTCCCTAACTCTTTCTAAGTAATTTCCCTAGTTGATGTGGGGAAGGGGGTTATTGTAATTTAGGGACTCCTCTAGCTTTGTGTTCAGATGGCAGATAGTGTTGATCCTTGAAAATAAGGGAATATTTGGCTTTTCCTCCTGTTTCCAAATAGAAAAGAACGCCCTATATCACTAGGGCTCTTCCCTCTGCCTGCTGGGGATGGACTGCTCACACCTGATGCTCAGAAAGGCGGCGAGACCCCTGGATCAGAGCAGTGGAAGTTTCAAGAACTGAGTCAGCCACGATCTCATACCAGCCTTAAGGTAAGCTTCATTCTGGTAATGTCATCAGTGTACACTTTGTAAGCTCTTTTTTTTTTTTTCTTTAAAACACATTGAAGTGGGCAGCCAGCATCAGAAAATGTAACTGTTTGCATTTTAGTTTGTATCTTTTTTTCTATTGGAACTTTACCTGAGTTGTCTCCCCCCCCCCCCTTCCTCTTTATTTATTTTTTCGTTATTTTTGACATTCTTTATATAGTTAATTAGGGCAAAAAGGTTCAAGGACTACAGGGAGACTGTTGTTTCCACATTGTTTCCTTCATGTATCAGGTAAAGGGGGAGATAAAGGGAGAAGCCCCATCTGGTCTCCCACCCACTCCAGGTCCCTGATGTGGGGCATGCTCCGAGGGTCTTGCTCAAGTGGTTTTGATAGTTCAACAGTTCTGAATTGCTGCCAGTCTCACCATTCCAAGCACGATGAGGTCGCTGAAGAATCCACTGATTGACATAGTCCATCTTAGAGTCTCGGTTTTCCCTGTTTTTCACTGCCAACATATGGCTGAGGTAGTTGACTTTTTCTGTCCTCTGTCTTTTCATGGTTAGGGTTCTGAGTCTGGCAGTTTGATTGGGGAGATTCCCAAAGAAACTTTGTCTGAGGTGTTCCCAGACTAGATTCTTGTGTGTACTTGCAATAACAGGGCCCGGCACAGTCCATCGCCCCGCCCCAATCAGGTGGTAGTTGCAATTGCTGGGTCAGTTCTGTTTCCAGCCCTGTCTTCCACTGGAACCAGTGGGTGTTGCAGTCCAGCCTGGTTCTGCCCAGCACACACTCGGCCCTCACATAAACCAGTGGGAGCTGCAGCCTAGTCAGAGCCACCCACAATAACCCCCACCAAACCCACCCCCATCCTGGTTCCCGTGCTTGACAGTCTGGTCTGTCCCACATCCCATTCAGCTCTCATCATGTCAATGGGCATTGAAGCCTAGTGCAACCCAACCAGCCCAACTAGCCCACACACATGCTCTTGGGTGCCTTTCTGTCTAGCCATCCCAGCCCCTGTCCTGGTTTTCCTGCCCTCCAGTGGGGGTGGTAACCCCAGAGGGATGAACCCACTATTTCCCTTCTAGGCCACTCCCACTCCCGGATTATGCACTCTCCAGGTGGTTCTGCAGTGTAACTTGCAGAATTAGCCCCCAGTGCCAGCTTCTGTCAGCTGATGCTGTGGTTAAGCCCAACCAACCTTCACCCACTCTAGTTTTTTCGTTTGCACTGGTAGGAACAATCAGCCCAGCCTGGCTTTTTCCTGATCTAGTCCACATGAGGCCTACAGGTGTTGTAGCGCTGCTTAGTCTGGGCTGCCCCCATCCCAACTCACTCTCTCCAGTGGAGTAGCTGTCCAGAAGGGGAGCCCCCCAACATTTCCCCTGCCAGCTCTGTCCCCTCTCTTCCTGGTTCTCATGTGTACTGGATAGGAGCTGCAGTCACATCTGGTACAGGCAAACTCACCTTGGTATTCCATAATGTGCACTGGTTTTTGTTGCAACCGAACCTGTCTCAACCCACACTCTGTTCTGGTGCTTGGATTCGCCAGTGGATAATGTGAACTGATTCAGCCTGGTCTGTCCCTGAACCATGCCAAATATATGCCAGTGGGAAACCATGACTTGTTCTGGGCTGTTTCCTATCATGCTTCTTGCGCTTGCCTGCAGGGACTGTGTCCTGCCAGAGGAGTTGCCCAGGCTCCTCCATCAGAACCTCTCCCAATGTCAGATTTTGTGCATACCAGGGGGGGGTCCATGAGCCAGCCCTGCTCAGTTCACCTCCTGTCCTAGCAGAAACGGTGGCTTTTCCTGAGTGGCCTTCAACCCAAATTGGTTCTTGCTGTTGGATGTTTCAGCCCAGCCCCGGCTCGTCCATACCCACATATGGCTCACACATGGCCCAGTAGGGGCTGAGACCTAACCTAGTCCGTCCCACATCTACTCTAGCCCTGCAGAGCACCAGATGGTGTTGGAGTCTAGCCTGGCTTGGTGCATCCTGTTCCAGTCCACACTTGTGCCAAGGGAGACTACAGCCCTATCCAGATCAGAATGCAACCCCCATTCCAGCCCCTGTGCTCCTTGGTGGGAATCTCAATGCAGCTAGGGTTTCCCTTTAGCTGAGTTGTCTTTTTTAAACTCTACTTCAAATTATAGAGGCAAATGAAGTAAAGCATTCTTTAATTGTGATTAAAATCTTGACAAAAATTAATTTCTGTTTCATTTACTATATGATATGAGTTTAGGGGAGAGTAACTAGTGACTAAGTGTGGTTTTTGAAGTTGAAAATTACTGTGATCTGAAATCTTTGATGCTCATTATAGTTTCACAGTTTAATGGTAGGTATTTTACGTAAAAAAACCAAAACACTGTTCCTTTCTCAAAGCCATTTAATTAAGTGGTATGTGATAGGTACATTGTATTTAGCTAAGTAGTGGTAGTGTTAATTTGTTCTAGAATATATTCTTGACCAAGAACTCGTTAACAAATAAATGATAAATGTAGCCAGTACTATACTGAGTCAAGATATGCCAGTAATTAAATTTTGAAAAATATGTAAAGTTATGTTCTGCATCTGTAACTATTTATAGATGGAATACTGAATATGAAAAAATCTTGTTACATTTAAGATCTACTCTGGTCATAAAACAAGCCAGTTACAATGTATACAAATAAATTACATTTTACCTCCTTTTCTTGCTTTTTAAATGTTTTTGTTTACTGTTGTATTCCCAGCACATTATGGGGGTTCAGAATATGTTTGTTGAATGAATTCTTTGCTGTAGATGTCTGAAAATCCTTGGGGATATTATAAGAAGACCTTTGTGTCACTTGCAGAAAGTGGAGACATCCAGAATCACTATTTTTCTTTGTGATACACAGAGAGATAGGTAAAAGAGACAGCACATAGTCCCGTGTACTAGGGCATCGCCCAAATGCCTGAATTTGCTACAGGCCTCAAGCCTGAGCCAGAGATCCAGTTTGAAGTTTCCCACATGGATGGTTGGAACCCAGTTGCTTAAACCCTTGCCACTGCTTCCCAGGGCCTGCTTTGGCAGGAAATTGGAGTCAGGAGGGAGCTGGGTAGCAAAAGCAGGTCAGTGTGGGCCACAGACATCTTAACTGTTAGGTTAAATGCTTGTCCCCTGCACTGACCTTTGAAGTGTGCTCAAGACAGGAGACATTCCGTAAAGTAAATATTTTATGGCTTTTCTCTCACTAAAGTATTTTTAACAATACAACTGATCTCACCTTTTCTTCCTCCTTCAGTTTTTTAGAAGCTGATTGTGCTGTTATTAGTCCCTCCTTGCTGCCTTCTACAGCCACACTTGCTCTGTAAAGCCAGCATGTAGGTTAAACAGCCTTCTTGCTGTGTCCCCTTTCACAATACCAATTTAACTAGGGGTTATACATTGAATGCATCCAAAATATGCACTATATGGTAACTATATTTTAATTACAGTCCAAAAGTACACCTTAAGAGATTATTATAATTCTCTTAGATTTAATTCACTGACTTGCTGTGACAACTTTACAGGCAGGTTATAAACCGATTGAAATGATTAAGATGGATTAAGACCTAGGAGTTTTTGTGTCCTCCCTAGAGATACTAAGTCATGTACTCCCGAGAGACTTCCTAAAACAAAAATGCTTTCTGTCTCCACTTGCTCTGGACAGTAAGATAAAGACCGAATAGATAAGGGTTTCTAGCAATGGATTATACATTGCAAAATAACAAGTCTAGCTTGTAAAGTATGTGTACTAATCGGGACCCCTTCTGTTATTCCCCTAAGCCCTCTTGCTAACTTGATACCTTTCCCTTACTTCACAAAAGGCTGGCAGTTAGAAGCTGAGTTCATTTGTGAATTCTGTCAAAGCCACCTCACACATCTGCTCATCTTGATTTGCACATGTAACAGAAATTGCACTAGATCAACTCTAGTTTTAAAATATCCTACAAATATGGTCTTTCCTCCTTTGGAGTCCCTTCCTGTTGCTATGACAGGAGATCTTTCTCTCTCTTTACCCCTTCCCTCTCTGTTAAATAACTCTCACTTTAAAAAAATCCTACACTGTCATTTTTCCTGAAAACTTTAAGGATGACCTACCATATTTAGGACATCCTTTTATCTCATTAAAAAAACTGAAGCTGAGTGTTACAATCAGCGTTGATTTTACTATGTTAAGGTGCAAATGTGGTATTAAAAATGGGCACTTAGCCTTGAGGTTCAGATGCTGGTAAGACACTGGCTTGCCTCTAAAGAGTGCCTAGTTTTGAACTGGAACTTTACCTGCTGATGCGCAGCTGGGAGACCTGGCTTGAGTTCCTGGTTTAGACTTAGCGCACTGCTGCAGGCATTTGAGGGGTAAACCTGTAGAAAAAAGCTGTATTTCTTTTTAACCTTTCAGATAAGAAATTAAAAAAAGAAAAAGGGAAGTGAATGAAATAGGGCATGCTTTAAGTCAATTATCATTGTGTTTATCAGTCCTGTGCCTGGATTGAGTTCCAGGCTCCTGATCTACCTTAAACTTGGGGTCATTGGATGGTGAGCCAGCAGATGGAGAGGTCTCTATCATTCTCCTTTTTGTCTTAGTTTGTCTTTCTAACAAAGTAAATTAAAAAAAAATGTTCTGAAGGGGGGGGAAAGTAAAACACACAATGAGTTATAATTTTCCACTGTGAGATACCTGCAGTCGGTTTAAATAATGTAGATTTCCTGGGAATGATACACCTAGAAATGATACAAAATGTGCAAGTTCTTGAGGCGTCTGTAGAGATTATTTGATTTATCTCATTCTAATGGAGATTGGCAAACATAGGCAATTAAATTATAAAAATTTCAGGTATTGTTAGGTGCTATTAAGAGCAAGGCAAGTTCAAGAATACTTATTTTAAAATGGTGACTTGGGAATGTGCAGATACATGGGAAGGTCTGATGGGGAAGAAGAGGTGACAGTTAAAGGTCTGGAGGCAGGGGCCCGGCGTGGTGGCCTAGTGGCTA